CTTTTAGTTGGTTGCAAATGTTATAAATTTGTACAACCACTTGCCATCCTCCTTTTTTGTAAATATGTACATAATAATATGTAGAAGATAGAATAGAAATACATTTCAGAACAAAAAACCGGCGGCCGCAAATTGGAGTTTTTATTATTTTATTACCCTTCTCTTTCTATATGCAATTATGAGATAGCAAGAGAGTGGGATGGACGTATAGGCCGGACAACTCATTATCGTGCACGTGTGCGTGCACCTGGCATTTTCTCGTCTTTTTTAGGTGTATTTTGCCGGAATTTGAATGAATGAAATAATCGTACTATTTTTACTATAAACGTATTTCCTGTAGCGACATCTATATGAATATTGTAGTACTTTGTTAGATGAAACGGGACTTCAATTTCCGTTCTTAAANCCACTTGCCATCCTCCTTTTTTGTAAATATGTACATAATAATATGTAGAAGATAGAATAGAAATACATTTCAGAACAAAAAACCGGCGGCCGCAAATTGGAGTTTTTATTATTTTATTACCCTTCTCTTTCTATATGCAATTATGAGATAGCAAGAGAGTGGGATGGAAGTATAGGCCGGACAACTCATTATCGTGCACGTGTACGTGCACCTGGCATTTTCTCGTCTTTTTTAGGTGTATTTTGCCGGAATTTGAATGAATGAAATAATCGTACTATTTTTACTATAAACGTATTTCCTGTAGCGACATCTATATGAATATTGTAGTACTTTGTTAGATGAAACGGGACTTCAATTTCTGTTCTTAAATCTGAACAAGTGGAGTGATTAGGAATCTTGGGAAGAGGAATACCTATAGAAAGTTTCCACGACTGAGGAAAATATCCAGCTTTGATGCAAGAGTTGATAATGTGCGTAACGTATTGATCGATAAATGGACTGCAGTATTTTAACATAATAGAGCATATCTCATCAACACCTTTAGACTTCTTACTACACCTATTTAAATAATAATTAACAAGTAGAGGAAAAAGATGATTCGTCTGTAAATAAAATCTGCCTAGCAAATTCATTATTTTCATCTATTTTTCTTGAGAAGTTTGCATTTTATAGGTTTCATAACCATTCTTTTTTAAGATGCGACAAACTGTACGACTTGAAATGTCAAGTTGTTCGGAAATTTGGGAGGAAGAACACGGCTCACTTACTTCCACAAAAGCACAAACATTAACCTCTTTTTCTCTCCTTGCTTCAGGAATTTGACGAGGTCCCTGATTGCTACATTTCGTACACCGATTAACACATCCACACTCCTCAAACTTACGAAAAATAGTCAAAGCAGTTCTAGCAGTGGGGACTGGTTCGTCTGGATAGGAAAATATAAATTGACCATTTAATAATACTAATTTTTTGTTCCACACTACACCATTTTAATTTTGTAATATTCCGTCTACTTCTTACCAAAGGTTTGAGTGGAATAATAATAAAAATAAACAAACGGCAAAGCGCTGTAGGTATTCGGTCGGTTCACAAAAAACGCAACGACGCACGTGCGCTCCCAAAGCCAACCAATTACGAGAGTCGAAGTCGCAGCCTCCACGCGAAGTTGATAGGGGAGATGCGTGTAGTTTACTTAGTCTATGCGAAAGAATTACCTGGCCAGACCGGTATACTCTTCCCTTTTATTTGTTGCCCCCAAGAACGTCTTAAATAAAATCTAAACGTCAGCTTAGTCAGAAAACTGAGACCTTTATTTCTTTGCCTCTATTCCGATTGTATATTCCTATGTTGGCATTTTTTGTTTATCAAAACAGACAACTCGCACAGAAATTTTAACTGTATTTAGAACTGCATAAATTTGTAATCTATAACCAGCAATAACAGAACGCTAAGAAATATTCTAAGTTTAAATTTTGTCATGTGATTCGGTGACGTCATCTAGGTAGACCGAGAACGCATATGGGTCGTCTGCCTTCTACCCTACAATTCGCCTGCCGACTAGACGGAAGTCAATCTAAAAAAAGTGCATGCCGGGAGCCTCAAAGCAAAGTTAATTTCGGTGTCCCTAGGTTCCCGTTATTATACTCATTCGTCTTCTTGATTCTCAATCGCACTGAGTGGCGTCACGAATAAGCACCACAGTAAACGCTCGTTTAAAACGTTTATTTTGCTCGCCTTACTTTAGTACGAATGGCCTATCTAGACTGTGCCTCAGTGCTACTTTTCACTAATTAATTCAGCGCACATTTCGTACCTAATGTTATTCATAGATTACTATTTGGTTGTTCAATTTTGTCAGTCTGTAAAATGGTTCAGGTCATAATTAATTGCAAGTTTTTTTTCCCCAAATATGTTCTATTCTACAACTTTGAAAAAAAATCAGCTTTTGTCACATTGTTTTCTCAAATGAGTACCACATACTACACATTCTACGTTTATTTACTCTACTGGTAAAGCTGCATTGCACCATCTTCCGAGAAGAAGAAGCAAAAGGTAACTTAGTTCTTCATCAATCAATAAAGCCCTTCGCATCGTCACAGTTTACAGGCTCTATCTCCCTTCACACGCATTGTAGGTTGCCTACAATTCATGTATTTGTTATACATGATTACGGTGGCGGCGTACACAAGTATTAAAGTGCATTGCATCCTAAACACCTTGTATGCAAAAATATAAAACTCGCGTAAAACGCCTAAACGTTTTAGGTGACTAGTATTAAGACGTGTTGTGCGGTTAGCAACGTTTCAGTGCTAATGCATGCGTAGACTTTGGAGTATATTTCTGCAGTTAGTGGGTCCTGTGCTTTCGCTCCTTGGAAGAGCTACCGTGTACTACCATGTGCCGAGAGAGGTGGAACTTCCATTTAGTCTCGTAGTCACAAGTATCGCACCTATACAACGGTTTATGCTTGAACCGGTGGGTAGCCAAATTTTTCTTACAGGCGGTTACGTAGTCGCAAAGGTGGCACTTGTAAGTTTCCGTTCCCCGAGGAATCGTGTGCTTCTCTCGGTGCGTCCCGAGGCTGCTCTTGTGCTTCGTTTCAAAGTCGCACACGTCGCACTTGTACATCCGTACCTGCGAGCGATCCTTGTGGATCGCCTGGTGCTTTATGAAGTTGTACTTGTGAATGGTCTCCATGCCGCAAACGTCGCACTTGTAAGTCAACACCTCAGATGTGTCCTTGTGCGTGAGCTGGTGACGACCGAGGTTCGACTTCTGTTTGGTTTGGAAACCGCACGTGTGGCACTTGTATTGGCGTGCCTGGGAAAAGTCTTGGTGGGACAGTTGGTGGCGCTTCAAGTTGCACTTCCGCTTCGTTTTATAATCACACTTCCCGCACGAGTACGTCGGTATGTCGGGACAGTCCCCGTGTTTCAGCATATGAAGCTGTAAGTGCACCTTAGCGTAAGACCCGTAATGGCAGAATTCGCACTTGTACTTCTTCACGGGGGATTTGTATTCTGCGGGTTTCCCGTGTGCCAAGTTATGTCGTACGAGGTAATGCTTGTTCTTGGTTTCGAAGCCGCACGTGTTGCACATGAACATTTGCTCGGTGGACGCTTCGTGGCTTTTCTGGTGGGCGATTAGAGTTCTCCTGCTCTTGGCTCCGTAACTGCAAGTGTCGCATTTTAACATCCGCGTCTGCACCAGGTCATCGTGTCTTTCCCGGTGGCGAGTGAGGTTGATTTTACGGTCTGATTCGTAGTCGCATTTGTGCGATTCTCTCTGGGACGGATCCGTGGGAACTAAAGAGTGCTTCTTGAGAGAGCATTCGTGGATCGTCTGGTAATCGCACACATCGTACTTGAAAGTTCGTACTTGGGAAAAGTCCCGGTGTACCAGTTGGTGGTCCACCATGGAGGTTCTACGTTTGGTTTCAAAACCGCAGGTGTAACACTGGTACTTTCGGGATGCCGGTATGTCCTTGTGCATGAACTCGTGTTGTCTAAGGTTCTTCTTACGGACAGATTCGTAATCGCACGAGTCACATTTGTACTTTTTTAACTGCGTCGAATCGCTGTGGTTCGATTCGTGCTTCTTACTGTCGAGCCTATGATTTTTTGTTTCTGTATCTCTTAGGCCACACTCGCTCGAGTAGTCCACGCGTTCGTCTCCTGGGATTTCCAACAGTGCGTCACTGAAAAAAATACAAATCGTGTACATTTTTGCTGTACATATATTTCAGCTGCCGATATAATTCGCGATGAGACCAATGCAAGTCAGGTTTCAGAGTTACAAATGTTAACGGATATTTTTTTTAAACCGTCCATCCATATCGTTTTAAATAAATCCCCCCAATATTTGTGCAATAAAATGAGGCTCCCAACTGACGTTCATAATTAAAACAAAACATTTGAAGGTAATTTAACCCCTCCTTCACATAAAACTGCAACATTTGAAAGATCGTTCAGTTACAATATGCCAAAAATTTAAAACGTAGTACCGTTGCCTCTGAAATCGCTGTCTGTCAGTTGCTTCAAAAAAATATATATAAAGCCTTTTTAATTCTCAATAACTAGCACCTAATTACACTCACATAATTGTTTCGCTCGCTTGCGTATCTATTTTGTCTGATATCTTATTACTTTTCTTTTTACTATATATATGTGTATGTAGGTATTTAGAGTTTTAAGTGTTTAAAGTGTGACTTAAATGCCGTGGCACATCTAGCATGGGTTAAGTGCAAGAACAGTGTGTTGCACACTGGACGACACAGCTGAACTNTTCAAAGTCGCACACGTCGCACTTGTACATCCGTACCTGCGAGCGATCCTTGTGGATCGCCTGGTGCTTTATGAAGTTGTACTTGTGAATGGTCTCCATGCCGCAAACGTCGCACTTGTAAGTCAACAACTCAGACGTGTCCTTGTGCGTGAGCTGGTGACGACCGAGGTTCGACTTCTGTTTGGTTTGGAAACCGCACGTGTGGCACTTGTATTGGCGTGCCTGGGAAAAGTCTTGGTGGGACAGTTGGTGGCGCTTCAAGTTGCACTTCCGCTTCGTTTTATAATCACACTTCCCGCACGAGTACGTCGGTATGTCGGGACAGTCCCCGTGTTTCAGCATATGAAGCTGTAAGTGCACCTTAGCGTAAGACCCGTAATGGCAGAATTCGCACTTGTACTTCTTCACGGGGGATTTGTATTCTGCGGGTTTCCCGTGTGCCAAGTTATGTCGTACGAGGTAATGCTTGTTCTTGGTTTCGAAGCCGCACGTGTTGCACATGAACATTTGCTCGGTGGACGCTTCGTGGCTTTTCTGGTGGGCGATTAGAGTTCTCCTGCTCTTGGCTCCGTAACTGCAAGTGTCGCATTTTAACATCCGCGTCTGCACCTGGTCATCGTGTCTTTCCCGGTGGCGAGTGAGGTTGATTTTACGGTCTGTTTCGTAGTCGCATTTGTGCGATTCTCTCTGGGACGGATCCGTGGGAACTAAAGAGTGCTTCTTGAGAGAGCATTCGTGGATCGTCTGGTAATCGCACACATCGTACTTGAAAGTTCGTACTTGAGAAAAGTCCCGGTGTACCAGTTGGTGGCCCACCATGGAGGTTCTACGTTTGGTTTCAAAACCGCAGGTGTAACACTGGTACTTTCGGGATGCCGGTATGTCCTTGTGCATGAACTCGTGTTGTCTAAGGTTCTTCTTACGGACAGATTCGTAATCGCACGAGTCACATTTGTACTTTTTTAACTGCGTCGAATCGCTGTGGTTCGATTCGTGCTTCTTACTGTCGAGCCTATGATTTTTTGTTTCTGTATCTCTTAGGCCACACTCGCTCGAGTAGTCCACGCGTTCGTCTCCTGGGATTTCCAACAGTGCGTCACTGAAAAAAATACAAATCGTGTACATTTTTGCTGTACATATATTTCAGCTGCCGATATAATTCGCGATGAGACCAATGCAAGTCAGGTTTCAGAGTTACAAATGTTAACGGATATTTTTTTTAAACCGTCCATCCATATCATTTTAAATAAATCCCCCCAATATCTGTGCAATAAAATCAGACTCCCAACTGACGTTCATAATTAAAACAAAACATTTGAAGGTAATTTAACCCCTCCTTCACATAAAACTGCAACATTTGAAAGATCGTTCAGTTACAA